TCTTGAGTTGTTGATGCAGAGGAGATTGAGAGAATGGAGATGATGCAAACAAGGGCTAGGATCTTCTTGGGGGAAGAGGGTTTCATGATGGACGGCTGTGATTTTCTTGATTTATTGGATGGGGATTGGTTTGATTTTTGATGAGGCCAATGGGATGTGTTATATAGAGAGAGAATGACAAGAGTTTTGCAGATTTTAGAGTGAGAGTGAGAGAGAGAGAGAGAGTGCATGCAAAAAATATTTTAAATAAAATAACAATAGAAACCCTAGCTAGAAGAAAAACCAAGACACGTGAACTGAGAAAGAGGGAACGTCCAAAATTTGCTAGTTGTCATGCAAGTTCATGAATTCATATTTCTTTTAGGATTTTCTTTTTCTTCTACTACTACTACTAGTAGTAGTATTATTATTATTATTATTATTATTATTATTATTATTATTATTATTATTATTATTATTATTATTATTATTATTATTATTTTCACGTGTATATATCTTTGTTCGACAATTCGACCCCAATCTTGATGTTACTATCATTAGTTGAGCATGTGATATATATATCAAACTAGGAATCTATGATCTTTTTATTTTAATTTATATGTGGAAATTTCTAGAGGAAACTAATAAGTAGAGTTTTACTTGATTGAAATGTATATATATGTTAATATTTTTATGCGCAATTTATTAGATAGTTATGCGGTTTTGTAGATACTATATTCGATAGAGTACATTGGGTGATCATGCACCATTGATCTATGGTGTAAATTCATCCGACACGGTGTTTTTCATCATGTGTAGCATCTCATAGACCTTATGCCAAGATAGTAGAAATCCGTTCGTATTGCATGCCCGGTAAGTTTTCTCCCAAATGCAAAATTGCGACAAAAAGATATTAAAAGTTTGTAAATGACCAAAATAGTAAAAGAATTTTCATAATTATAATTGAGAATTGAAATAAGTCTCTATTTGTAATCAATGCGGGACAAATGCACATTGAAACCATATTTGGGCCTCAACTGCCTGATTCCAATAAGATATAATTAACGCATCAGCTCCTAAAACAACTTATTAAACTTAAGTGCTTATTAGCCAATTAAAAAAATTTATAAGATTTAACAACTTATCAGCTATTAAAACAACTTATATCAGACATAACACCAAATTATACGCTTAAAGAGTACATTGAATGTATTTGTGTCACTTTTGTTTGTGTGTGTATTATAAAACTTTTTTGAACGTGATGAATTGTCTCCCATTTAATTTCCTAATATGTGAATTATATATAACATAATAAAATAATTGATTGGAGGCTTCACAAGAAATATAATCAATATTTTAAATTTGATTCAATATTTAATATTAAATATTTATACACAATAATATGTAAAATAGATCAATCAAAATTCTCTTTATGTAGGTGATGTGATATATAAAGTCACCTGTCCATGCAACTTTATTTCACTTGTTGTTTTCTTCATTCATTTTATGATTCAAATTGGCTTTGATTTGGGGCCCACTCACCCCCAAACACTGACATTTCAATCACCATTTTTGAGCTTATATGATAAATCATTCACCTCAATAGGGAGTGTTTATATATATACATGTGATATATTATGTTTAAAATTAGATTAGCATAGATTAATTAGAGTCTTTTTCGAGCTCGATAATTAGAAAATGGCGCGCGATAGAGAATTACGTACTGCCACGTGTCCGAGGTATGTCGATATGTAATTGACCGTAGGCGACAGTCGACATGCTGAGGTGTTGAAACGATTGTTCTCCGCCAGTCAAGTAGAATAATATATATTATCCATGGCCATTTTTTGAGGAATTTTAATTTAGGTCATTTTACGAGTATATATTATCTCTCTTTCTCTCACACGCACAAACACATATGCATGTAGATATAGATACAGATATAGATATATATATATATATATATATATATATATATATATATATATATACACACACACTGGGAGGGGTGGTGGTCTATGCATGTTGGTGTGAGGCTGGAATGTTTTTGTAATTTTGTGAAATCCGTGATCTTGCTGACCTCATCATCTTTGCTGCCATTGGTCCCTGCCCCTTCAATCATTCAATTATATTCATAATATAATTATTAAAGAATTTAATTAAGTAATATATAATTACTTTTAGGAGTGTCTTATTAACTATATTACAAAATATTAAACAAAATGATTCGAATCCTAAGGCAATGTTTGGAACCGTTTTGGATCTTATTTTGATTTCATTTTGAGGAAATATGTTTTGGGGGAATAATTTGAGAATGAAAGTAATGTTTGTTTGTATTTTGGAAGGAGACAAAATACACTGTAGAAGTCAAATCATGTTTAAAGGTGTTAGAAAAAGATATTTTTGAAGAAGAAAATTGAAAGGTGAAGTGATGTTTATTTGTTTTTTAGTGAAGGCATTTTTTCTGTAGCAATCAAATCATTTTACTGTAGCAGTCACATCATGTCTGGAGGAGAGAGAAACTTTTGAAATTGTTTTGAGAAAATGATTTGAAAAGTGTAATAAATCCCATTTTGTTTTGGGGAAACAGTGAGAACAAAATAAAAACGGTTCCAAACATTGCCTAATTATTTAATTTGACTGCATCGCTCTCTTGCTCCACCAACTCTTACTTACGGGCAAATTAGGTCCAAAAATTCAAAATGTATAATGATTTTTTTTTTTTAATTTATAATATATATGTACATACCATGAAGGCCCAAAATCTTAATTTTGTAAATAAACTTAAGAAAATTAATTTATACAAAAAAAAAAAAAAAACTAGTGGGGCCCACTTCTCTGACCTAGATCGAACTGTTGAATGTCACGGATGATACCCATTGCCCAAAAGTCTGACATGGATTAAACTAGTGGTCTCTGCTCTATCTTTTGGCCGAATTAAAATATTTTATTTGAATTTAAAATGATTTATATAAGAGATTTATTGGGTACATTCATGTAATGTATGTATATTAGTACATGACAAATTTCACTCTGAGTCAAAAATCATAAAGACCATTACTAGTATACATAAAATTGAGAGTGGTGTTTTTTATATTTTATTTATAAAATTGTTGTAATAAAAGGGCTAATTGCATTTTAGAATTTATGGTGTATGGGCTTTCTAGAGTAGCTTTCTTGCTTTTGGGCTTGATTATATTGGCCCATCACGTACGAGCCTAAATTGGCTCGTCGACTTAATAATTGTTGTAAAATAACTTATTTAATCTAACTTTTCGGTTTGGTAATTATGGAATAGCAATGAGCCGATCTGACTTATGTGAAAAATGGTCACGCGGGTGTTATTTGGCTTGACCATTTTTCACAGGGTGTTCTGCTAATTTTTTTAACACGGGTTTTTTTTAGCAATTAGAGATTACACAAGAGTAGTTTTTGAAAGAAAAAAAAACCTATTAGTAATACAAGAAATATAAATAACGAGAATAGAAATTCCTTTCTCCGATAACAACAAAAGAGACCATTCGGAT